CGTCCCACCGGGAGGAGGCCCAGAGGACGACCCAGGACACGCTGGAGAGACTATGTCTCTCGGCTGGCCTGGGAGCGCCTAGGGCTTCCCCCAACAGTGCTGGGGGAGGTGTCTGTGGAGAGGGAAGTCTGGGAGTCTCTGCTTAGTCTGCTGCTCCCGCGACCCGGTTCCAGATAAAGCGGGAGACGACGAGTAAGAGTACGGTGGAGTCAGAGTAAAAAAAAAATGCCCATGAGAAGGCCTGTGGCTGGAAGTTGGAGGGAGCTATTCTGCTGGTGTTTGACTCGGAAGGACCCTTTTGAATGGCTGCTACCGTACCAACCACCGAGACAAATTAAATAGCAGCTGATGCCATGCAAAACCACAACAACTAACGCTTTTTTTTTCTCTCACTGTGCGTGCTATTGCAGCTAAGTTTATGTCCTCCTGGGCTGCCATCTTTATTTTAGTTCAGCTGTGGAACCTGCAACTCTTGTTTCAATTACAACTATATGTCCCACCTTAAATCATCATGCTGCATCATGATTGGCCAACCCATTTTGGCTTGAACTAGAACTATTTCAGCTTAATTGGTACTAGAGGGATTTTCGTATGTTTGTGAACACCAAAATACTTTAAGAATTCAGCTTGCAGGCAAGGTTAGCTAAACCTGGAGGTTAGAGGTCTACTGCCCCTAGTGGCAAGGAAGTTACACAGTGCTGCTTTAAGTTTAGTTGTTAAAAGTAGCAAAAAAGTGAATGTTGAAAGAAATTATTTTGAGTTCCTGAAACCATACGAAGTGTAAGGAATAGAAAGATGAGTTTAAATGGCCTTAGAAGCTTGGAGTGGATGGGTAGGGGGGTTATTTGGTGCAATAAACTGCATAGTATAAGTGAGTGAATGCAAATGTAATTATTTTAATGCACTTTTAGAGCAAATAATACAATATCCAAATCTTTGCTTTATGAAAAAAGTCTTATTCTTAATATACTTTATGATCCAAAATACTTAAAATCTTCTCATTCAAACTAAAAAATGGTTTTAAGGTGGCAAACAAGACCACCTCCTTGATCTAAACTCACACTTTACTGCTCAATAATCTTTCCTTAGCCATAACATATTTGACTCACACAACATTAGTGCTGCTTTATAATGAAAAAAAGATGTCTTATTTCATACATGCTTTATAAGAGAGCCTGAGGATTTTCTACAGTATTTTTTTCTCAACTGAGGCTCAAACTTAGTGTTTTCTACTGTACATAAATAAAACAGTAGGCTAGATTGTGAAGCAAAGATCTTTTTGTCTCCTGATACACGTTACATTTTACCCGTCCTGATATGAAAACTGTTGTTTGAGGTTTTTCTTTGTTCTTTAACAGAAGGCTATCTCCAATTCTGCCTCATTGTGTTATTTCATACAAAAGTCTTTATCTAACACGATGTATTTCTACATGAGTGGCCACATGTATGAACAACTGACAACTTTGGTTTGTGTTTTAGACCCATGTTTCTGACTGTCTGTAATTGTATTTAATCAAATCTCACAGGGTTTACAGATCTGACTATTCTCATTTTTGTTCTGCACTCAGCATCTCTAAAACCGTACCTTGGTTATGAATCGTCTTACGAAGCAAGCATCTTCATAGCTTATCTTTTATGTAATTTGAAATTCTATATGACTTTCGTTTTCATTAAATCACTCAATTCATTCAAAATGTTGTTCCTTTTAATAAGAAAATAATTGTGTTTTAAAGGAATACAGGTAAGCACACTGCAATTTGTTTCTACCAAATATTAATTGTATTGGAGAGATAAAAATAAAGTTGTCAAGTCTTCATGACGCAGTTAGAGTAACAAGTTTTTACACAGCGAAAACTAATCTAAAGGACAGTAAACATTTCTTAAATTAACTTTGTTTGACCTTATTTGGCAAGTTAATAAGATGATCTGCAAATGGATGAGTATTTGTGTCATTAAAAGGAGATTTTTCGATTCCAAAAGAGTAAAAAAAAAAAAAAAAATCCACTGGACTTTGTCAAGTTTTAAGACGTTTTGCTTCCCATCCAGGAAACTTTTTCAATTCAAATTGTCAGAAATTGCGTTGAGTTCGAGGCTTTATACAGTAGCCCAACAAACAGAGATTGGAAGTAACGAAGTACAAATACTTTGTTACTGTACTGAAGTAGATTTTTCTGATATTTTTACTTTACTACTTATTTTTATGGCGACTTCTTACTTCTACTCCTTACATTTTTACACAAATCTGTACTTTCTACTCCTTACATTTTAAAAAATTGGCTCGTTACTTTAGTTTTGAATAATTTCAATGGAGTTACCGTTATTATTTTTCCCGTCATCAATACCAAATTCAATCTAATTGGATGGGAATCTACGTTGCATTTGACGCACC